ATATTTTGTAAGCATTTTATTTTATTTTTATGCACTATTTTTCTTATGTGCGTATGTTAGACAATTTTTTCCTTCCGATTTTTCGTGCAGAAGAGAAAAATTACGTTTATTCCAATTTTTTCCCAAAAATATGTATTTAAATTATATGTTATTGTTTATAAATTTAACTTTTATTTAGTGTTTGATTTTGTTTACATAACTTCTATTATTTGAATGACATGGAGATATAGAATTTTTAAAATTTCGATGTTCTAAGTAATTAATTTCTTTTCATGTACACAAAAATTGATAACTGAATACTGAATAATAATTTCTTTCACACTAAATACTATCGAATCCTTTTTATTTTACTTCATCTACTGCTTCTTTAACACAAGTTTTTCTTTTCTTTATTTAAACGCCAACGTCTGCTTACTGTGTCAGGATAAATTCGTTTTGGAATTAAGTTTTACAGAATTCTTATTTCATAAATAAGATAAATAAGATATAATAATAAAAGATAATCATTTTTATTAGTTCCTAAGTTAACTGAAGAAATTTTTTCCTTTCACCCATTATTATTATTTCCTCACCCCCGAAGGACAATAAAATACCTAGCTTTTTCGAAAACTTATAAAATTTGATTTTGCGAATTTTATTTTTTTATAAGAACCCCTATAAGTTAAAATAAAGATATGTAAGCAGTGATAAATTTAATATAAACAAGGACACATTAATTTGGATAGATGCAGTACTGAATTCTCAAAATTTCGAGAAAATTAATCAATAAAATAAACTGCCTCATTTAGTTAAGGGTATCCTGCTAACCAAAATTTTAGCTAATCATCTCCACCAACAATTAAATCACCTAAACTCTTTTTTTTTTGTTGTAGTAACTCATATTTGCATTTTATAACATAACATACTCCTATATTTGTGGTTTATAAGTCTGCCTTGATTTTTATCACAATTACTTCACAAGCTCTACTCGCGTTAGTTCGAACTCATTGTTTGAATATTTGTCTTCAGGACAAATCCTGTCTAAATGACTTGTGACTTCTTTTTAACTAAACACTAAGAGGTCCCAAGATTTTATCAGATTCTCTCTAAAACAAAACACCAGGGTCTCCGAAGATTCTTTTATATTCTCTAAACAATTAAACACTGAGCACCTCGAGATTCCTTGAAGTTCTTAAAACAAAACTCTAAGGACGGCTCCCAAAATTCCATGATTTTTTTTTTAATGAAGCATCTAGGTCTCCCAAGAATCTTTCAATTTTTGAAAAAACAAATCACCAGGAGCCCCTAAGATGCTATTTCTTTTTTTCAAAAATAAAACCTAAAAGCTCCGAAGGTACCATCTATATATATGTTACGGTTAAAGTGAATACTCGGCTAGTTTCCAGACTAACTGGTTGTTATGCAAACTAACCAAGTCGCTAGTTATTATAGACGAAAAACTATTTTCTCTTACATTAGCAGGGTTTCTTGGTTAATTTTTAAACTGCCCAGCTAGTTTATAAACTACCGTACAAGTTTGGATAATTTAAATACTTTTTTTAAAGTACATAAATTAACCGAAATAATTGGTTAGTTTACAAACCAGCCACTTTGTTCTGGTTAAAATAAGAACTTTTTCTCTAGTACGATAAAATAACCAATGAATTGTATCATTGCCTGCATTGAACACTAAAACAACTGTCTGTTTGCATACTAACTGCCTAAAATATGATACAATTCGTTAGTTATTTAGAGAAAAAGTTCTTATTTTAACCAGAACAAAGTGGCTGGTTTGTAAACTAACCAATTATTTCGGTTAATTTATGTACTTTAAAAAAAGTATGTAAATTATCCAAACTTGTACGGTAGTTTATAAACTAGCTGGGCAGTTTACAAATTAACCAAGAAACCCTGCTAATGTAAGAGAAAATAGTTTTTCGTCTATAATAACTAGCGACTTGGTTAGTTTGCATAACAACCAGTTAGTTTGGAAACTAGCCGAGTATTCACTTTAACCGTAACATATATATTATTTTTCAAAAACGAGAAATTAAGAGGTTCCAAAATTGTTTCTGATTCTGCCCAAATAAAACACTAGGAGGCGTCAGAATTTTAAAAAATTAGTTTTAAAACAACAGAAAAATTCTTTCTATTTTTTTCAAAAACAATGAGACAACAAGAGGAAGATCTTTTTGGATTTCTCTACAATAAAAAAACACTAGTAGAATTTAAAATTTTGTCAAATTCTTTATAAAAGAGCAAATGGGGCTTCAAAGTCTTCAAGGTTTCATAATTTTTTTTTTTTCAAAATGTAGACATAGGGATCCTCAGGACTTTGTCAGATTCTGTCCAAAATAAACGCTCGAAGTCACCAATTTTTATAAAATCTTTTTAAAACAAAACATTAAAAAGTTTTATTCTATTTTAGAATCATAATCTTGATAATCAACGGTTGATTTACATTCGTTTGCATTAATTAATTGTTCAAACAAGCTTCGATATTCAACATTTTTATTAAAGGTGGGAAAATAATTTTTCATTAAAGCATTCCTTGGCCGACTTGAATTCTTCTAAAATTTCTTTTGAATAAACGTTTTCCGCTTCTTCAGTTTGCATTTTGAAAATCGAATTATTTAACAAAATAAAAGCCAGCTATGTGTTAAAGTTCGCATCGGCACAATTCACACAACCTTGCCGGAAATACTCAATATTTCGTTAAAATCATTTTAGAAACTAAAATAGAATAAAACGTTGTATGTACCACGGGCATAATTGTCGATTGTGGCTCTCGGGAAATTAAAAATTTAAACATTCCCTCGTGCTATAATCTTCCTAATTATGCCCTTAGTACATAAATAACTACTAATAGATTCTATCAAACCTTTTCAAAAACAAGACACCAACGGGGAGATATTTTTCACATTATGTCTAAAATAAGACGCCCTGGATCTCCAAAATTCTATCCAATTACTTCTAGAACAAAACACCAGCGACTAGAACGAGTTTTTCTAGAACACAGTAGCCAAAGCCTCAGATTTTATTTATTTATTTATTTGTTTTTTTCAAAAACTAGACACTCCCCCAATATTTTTCAGATTCTGTCTAAAATAAAGCACCAATCCTTTTTAAAACAATGCACCAGGGATCCTGTGGGCCGGTTTCAATACTTGTATACAATTATTAATGTTTACACTTTTTTGCATATTTTTTGCATTGCAAGTAAATCTATTTACTTAAACAAAGAAATTAAGGTTGAAAAGATTTATTTACTCGTATGAAAAAAGAAAAAGAAGAGCTAGATAAGCTACCAGTTTGTCAAGATCTGTCGAAATTTGCGGCGAACCTCAACTCCGGTCCACATTGGGCGTTTACTAATCCGGTACCTCAATTTCCCTGACATTAAGCCCGGGCCGACAAACATCTATCTGACTCTAATTATTTTAATGCGGGAACACATTCAACTCATTTTGTATTAGGAAGTGAAGACAAAATTATTTTAATAATTTAAACAATATTAGTATACCTGTAGTTACAAAATTTCAATTTCATGTAACTTGTAACTTAAAAGGCGCAACTAAAATTGATGTAAATTTAACTATTTGCTCTTATGTATTTGGACCTGAGCTAAAGCGAGGGATTGAGGCACTCCAGGTATCAGTGTAATGAGATATATTAAGCAAAAGCTGTTAGTTAAGCTGTGATCTATATAGAAATTATGTTAACAATTTCATGACCAAACATCAAACATCTAGCCACCTTACAGAAATAGAAAATCTTTACAATAAAAAAGTTTGACAAAAGAATATACGAAAATTACCTACTTATATTTCTTCAAGCATAGATTTTATTTACAATAAACTGGATGGGAGAAGCTTGTGCATGTTCTGTTTATAATAATAATCATCAGAATCATCACTTTAACTGCTAATGATCCAAGTTCATTATTTTTGTTTCATATTGTAATACTTCGTTGAAATGTTATATATTTGTTACAATGGACTCCCGCCTTTGTTTAATCGCTGCTTTGTACACTCAAGTGCAATTCTGATGGATGGACAGTGTGATTAATGGTTATTGACTTAATTATCTGATAGAGATCTGCTTTTGTAAAAACATATGCTGTAAGTCACCATTCTATAAATTTTCAGGCAGGAGCAAAACGTAAAATAATAACCATTGATTCACATACACCTCAGCTTGCGTAACAGAGTATAAAAGATATTAAGTAGCTCGCTCTCTCTCTCTTGCTGCTATACACTTAAAACTCATTTGCATAAAACATAACCTACTGTTCTTTATAGCCATGTCGGTCCTCATTGACAGAAATGAAACCCACAGGCATTATGTAATACAAAAGCAGAGGTTGGCAACATTGGTTGCAATCAGCATTAGTACAATACTGCTTTATTATATTGAAACCCTACTTTAGTCGTTTCTAAAAAACCTGATTCTAGTGATTTAACAGTCTGTTACTAATTATGACATTAATTATATAAAGTGTTGGTTTAAAATTCCACACAAGACAGAAATTCTTTTCAGATAACTGACAGAATTAATATCCCGTAATGCAGATGTATTCCATTTTAGTTGAACATCCACGTTCATTTCCCGTATGGGAATCGTAAAATGTGTTTTCAGGAACAATAAAGTTTTTATAGAGATGCGATGTATTGAAGAATGCAAAGATAAGACGGCTCTAAATCAACGCAAAATATTTTTTTTATTGCAGGAGTATTTTTGGATATTAAACTCCTTCGATAACTTTATAACTGCGGTAGCTATATATTTCTTCAGTAAACCAAGATCTAAACAGATTTTATTTTTATTTTATCGGTAGTAGTTATGTTAGTAATACGTCACCGACTCGCCAAGGTGACGTAAAAAACGTGTTGACTTTACTAAGACCGGAAGTATGAGATTAGAATGTGGTAAAGGTACATAAGACACAGGAGACGATAAAAATTTTATTGACAATAAAACGCATTTAAACGCAAGTTTTGTATAAAGAAAGATTACTCCTAATGAAAGAAAATATCGAAATCAAATTGATCGTAAAAATAATATGTTATACACACATATATTAGCACATTTTTCATTATATTTCATCATAGCTAGCTATATTGTGCATATTTGAACACAACTATTGTTCAAATTTTCTGCAAATTAGACACATATAACGTATCTATTTTTTAAGCAACCTCACGTTTTTCTATGTAGAAAGTAGGTAAACACAACAGAGTAAAACCAGGAAGGCCAGAAAATTATAACAGATATACATTTATTAATATTTCGAAATATGTTAAGGTCACAGTTAAATAAAAACCAGTGTCCTTAATTTACTGATTAAGATCATGAAAAGTATTAATATTCAAACATTATTTTTTTCTTTCTTGTTTTTCTACTACAAGCATTGATAGTGGCAGAAATAACTCACAACCTACAGCGCAGCGTTTTACTGGTAATCAGGTACATTTTACTCTAAACTACGTTAGATAATAACTTATTATCAAAAATGATAGGAAAGTAATACTTTTCGGCTTTTTTTTTCCTAAATCTACTTGGAGTTTTTCTTCACTAAAATCATAATTCTAGAAAAATGCCATTCTTTTTCAAGAGGATCACAAGCAGTTTCACCATTGCCGACACAAGATGCGTACGACATAAGGTGAGGTATCACATTTTCTTCCATCACTCCAGTAAAAAGGTGAGCCCATGGGCCTTTCGCAAAGATTGCCACGTCATCACCTCCATGGGTTTCCATATGGAGGGGTGAAATTCCAGGGTAACGATACTCTTCATTGGCTAAAAATCAAAAACAGTTGTTTCTGGTATTAATAATATATAAAAAACACCTACACATGTCATCTTTGCTCACGTCATGGCGGCGTCCTTCACTAGCTTTATACCCAGGTCCATTAGCGTAGTTCAGAACCGTGTAAGGAATAGTGTCATCGGCATTTCCGGCTATTCCCAAAACATCGTTACCTCTATGGGCATATCCGCTATAACTCATTGTGTGGGCGTGATCTGACGTCACCACAATTAAAGTGTCACTCTCACTAGTCATATCAATCGCAGCTTGGACAGCTTTAGAGAATTCACTGGTTTCATCCAACGCCATTCTAGCCTGAGCATTATGGTGCCCCATGTCAATTCTAGCCCCCTCAACAAACAAAAAGTATCCATTTTCCGACTGACTTAGAACCTTAATAGCAGCTTCCGTCATCTCCTGCAACGACGGCTCCTTATTTTTATCCCGTTTCAAGTTAAAACTGACATGATCTGGATTAAACAACCCCAGAAGATAATCCGTTTGGTTATAGTCAACCCCTAAAAGTCCTTCCTTGTTCCAAACATACGTCGGCTTAGCCCCCAGTTGGTTTTTCTGCTCCAGCCACTCTTTAATCAAGTTGGTTTTATCTACCCGATTACCTTGAAACCCTTCCTCATCTTTGGTATTTTGTGGCAAAAAGTTCGCTCGTCCCCCTCCCAGAACCACGTTGAGTTTTTTGCCGGTTTCGCCGTGAACCAGTTGCCACGCGATATCTCTGCACGTGACTGGATCGTAGTTGGACGCGATGACGTCATTGTCGCTTTCCCAGTCACGTTCGGCGGTGTGCGCGTAAACACCCGCGGGGGACGCGTGCGTGACGCGTGCTGTGGTGACGAGACCTGTCATTTTGCCCTTTAGCTGGGACCAGTGGGCTATGGAGAGGACGTGATTTGTTGAGTTGCGCATGGGGGGGCAATCGTCACGTTTGACGTTTCCTGTCACGCCGATTGTGCCGTAGTTGCCTTTTACTCCGCCTAGGTAGGCTGTGGCGGAGCATGCGGAGTCGGCGACTTGATGGTCGATGCAATAGGTCTAAAAAAATATTTATTAAAGGTGAAAAGGTTTTTTTGTTGGTTTACTTTAGATAAGCCAGTGTAGGGGAATGTGTCAAATGATAATTGTTTTTCTTCACCCCCTACGTATACACGTGCTGCTGATATGGTGGGGATGGACATGCCGTCGCCAAGGAAAAGGATGACATTTTTGGCGATATCTGAAATATAGGAATTAATATATTTGCACCAGGTTCAGTATGATCTGAGTCCGTCAAACGGTGAATGATAATTTATAGATCTCCTCTCGGATTTCTGACATGAAAGTAACAAAAGTTCTATGAATCAGAGGTGAATGAACACATCTTAGGTTATAATGATCAATTGATCAACGACGTCGGATTCGCAAAACCTTGATTCTTTCGAATACACATCCTAAAATCAGACAAACCTTGGTGGTGCCAATTATCACGTTTGGAAACAAAAGGTCAGTGTTCACTGTTTGGCGGACTCTATTATAACATGTCAGCTTCACTTCTGGCCAACAGAATATATTTAGTAAGTATTATAGTACACGTACTATTTTCTAAACAAATGTAGCGAAAATACAAATTTTGAAAAATAAAGACTATGAGTATGAAAACAAATAGGATTTTACAAAAGTAATGTTTTATAATGGACGAATGCTATATGTATAGGATATTTCACTGCAGAAACACACTTAGTTTACATGTTTTGAATAAGATATATACATTTTTAAACACAGTTATTCTATTACAATAATTAGAATTACGTTAGTTAGAGAGTTGTTAATCTGGTGTGGATTTTGGGTTGCCGACTAATCTCTTGCCTAAATTGAATTAGCTTTTATTTATCGTATTCCTAGCAAAAAAAAACAGGACTACGATTTTTGAAATTTGTGTTTTATTGGAGAAATTGACATATTTAAGATTAAGAGTTACCATGCCGCCATTTTGAATATTTCAATCTTATTGATTGTAAAAATCAAGTAGGTATAAAATTGTTTTTTTCTATTCCGTCAAAATTTTGACATAATATTAATATGCTTCAAAGTTTTTTTTGGCGCTTAATTTATTGAAGTGGGTTCAGGGCACACTCATAAGAGTCATAAGTTTTAAAAATATTTTGTTTTAGTATTTTACAGTTATGAGATCTATCTTAAAATGGCGGATTCATAAGCTAATATAACCTTAATCTCTAATTTTGAGATATTTTTTCATTAAAATGGTCAATATTTCCAAAATCGTAAGTGCAATTGTTGAAGATTAAGTAATATATTGATAGTACCTGTCATTATGTAAAATCACTCTAGTGATTTCATCTTTGCTTTTTCAGAAAATGACATCAATCTCTTGGACCAAATAGAATCTGACATCTCAGTTTACTTGTCGTATTTTAGCTATTTAAAAAAATAATCACTAGAATATCAATTTTAAGAAGAATAAAAAAGTGGTGAGGAGACAATTGACGTTTCCTTAATTCTTGTCTACATTTTACACTAATAACTAACTAATAATAAATACGGCAAACTAATGGAAAGCCAAAAAATTTGGTTGAAGATTATTTCGAGAGAACTTTCCTCGTCCCTGAAGTACAATCCAATAAATCCCACATTTTTGAAAAATTATAGAATTCGATTTAGTGATTTTTGTTTGGAAAAAATGTATTCTCAGTACATAGTTGACTTCAACTCCTTAAATTTATACTTCGACTACTAGTACGTTCAGATAAAGCATCAGCGGTGGCATTTGTATTAAAAGAGACTGAAATTTGATTGATTTTGTCTCCACTAAACAGAGGAGAAGATTAATGAATTAATTAATTAAACTAAAATTTTAATTCACGATTTACCATGTTTACGGTAACCTTACAATGTATAACGTTTTTGTACAATTTTGTTTTTTCCCAAAAATTTGGATATCTTATTTTATAACATTTAAATGAACATTTAATACTGAAAATTTTGGAGATGGCGTCATCGCATCGTTCGTGGGGGTGATTAGACCAACTTTGATTAGCGTTTTACTATACACTATGTTCCTTGCATACCTAGGAATAAAATTTGGCAGCTAACAATCGGCCCAGTAGTTTTGGAGACTATATGTCTAATAAAAATCGATATAGATAGATGACTTACATGCAGACGGAAACGGGATATTTATTGTTTCGTACTCTAGGAATAACGAGACGTCCAGAAAATAGGAACGTAACCATTCGTCAGAAAATTTGTATTTCAAAAGCATTTAATATGAAAACTACCAGCCGAAAAAAATTTTTGTTTAACTTTACTGGCTGAGTTTGCAAAAATTAAAGCAAAATCGAGAATACTATGTCATCTTGTTAATTTTCCTTTCAATTTCAAAAATATTTTAAAGCGCACAGTACATATCATAAAGATCTCTGGCAAAATAATTGCAACACTTGAAAATTTGAAATAATAAATTTGATGTCATTGCCAGATAAACCGCTAGAGATATAATATTTATTCGAAAAGCGACCCTACTAACGAGAACTGTACATTTTTTAACATAAAGTAATATTTTAACATTTCAAGCTTTTATCGTTTTAAATAAATACTTGAGGCAGAAATGTGGAACTAGAATGTTGTTATTTATTTATTACTTCCCGAGCGTAAGAGAAGCGTCTGCCCGTCTGTCCGTCTGTCTACTGTCCCGGATTTTTATTAGACAGATAATCTCCGAAAGTACTGGGCCGATTATTGTCAAATTTTGTATTTATATTAGGAATATCATCTTGATGGTAAACGCTAACCAAAATTTGTGTAATCATCGCCACCAAGAATGTGATGACGTCAGTTCAAATTGTACATAGTAAATGGATTTTAAATTGTATAAAATCCTACATATGTAGTTTATGACTCCGTGTTAAGTTTTTACCCAAAACGTCGAGATGTTTGGAAAAAAAATGAAAATTATAAAACAATATTTTGCAATTTAATTTTGAATCTGCCAAATTTAATGCTTTGAAATCTTGCGGATGTTTTAAATTTATGGTAAGCATAATAAATTTTTAGTCAAATTATTCTTGCTTATCCCCTCTAAAAATTGATGACGTCATCTCTAAATTTTGCCGGATAAATTCCATCTAAAATGTGCAAAATATGAGCAGTCTATACTTATGATTTATCAATGCATTCATATTTTTTAAATTTCCTTAAACAGGATGCCTCAAAAAAACTAATGAATGCGTGAATTTATTTTATTGGTATAATTAGGAACTGCAAAACCGAATCCTCTGAAATATTGGAGATGTTTTAAGGTTATCATGAGCAATTTTTGATCAAAATGTATTTGCTCATCCCCCCTAAAAAACTGATGACGTCATCTCAAAATATTACTGAATATATCCTATCTTAAATGTGCAAAATATGATGAGTCTGTACTTTTATTTTTAGTAACGAGTTAAATTCCTAAGTCTACCCGAAATGTGCAAATTTTCTGTCGCTCAAAGAAATTAATGAATGTGATACAATATCACAAAATTCTATAAAGTAAAAACTCAACTCAAAACTGCTGAATATGTTTCATTGTACTTCGGGAGCAAGGGAGGATCCTTTTAAATATTTGAGACAGTGAAGTGGAGCAAGAATGTCGTCATTTATTTTTTTTAAACACTATAAAGAAAAGTTGATCGAAAGTTATTTCGACGGAATTTTCCTCGCCCTTGAAATACAAATTTTGCTTCTTTGAAAAATTTATAAAATTCAGTTTTGCAAAATTTTGTTTTTGATTAATTATATATGTTACGGTTAAAGTGAATACTTGGCTAGTTTCCAAACTAACTGGTTGTTATGCAAACTAACCAAGTCGCTAGTTATTATAGACGAAAAACTATTTTCTCTTACATTAGCAGGGTTTCTTGGTTAATTTGTAAACTGCCCAGCTAGTTTATAAACTACCGTACAAGTTTGGATAATTTACATACTTTTTTTAAAGTACATAAATTAACCGAAATAACTGGTTAGTTTACAAACCACCAAACCAGCCACTTTGTTCTGGTTAAAATAACAACTTTTTCTCTAGTACGATAAAATAACCAATGAATTGAATCATTGCCTGCATTGAACACTAAAACAACTGTCTGTTTGCATACTAACTGCCTAAAATATTATACAATTCATTGGTTATTTTATCGTACTAGAGAAAAAGTTCTTATTTTAACCAGAACAAAGTGGCTGGTTTGTAAACTAACCAATTATTTCGGTTAATTTATGTACTTTAGAAAAAGTATGTAAATTATCCAAACTTGTACGGTAGTTAATAAACTAGCTTGGCAGTTTACAAATTAACCAAGAAACCCTGCTAATGTAAGAGAAAATAGTTTTTCGTCTATAATAACTAGCGATTTGGTTAGTTTGCTTAACAACCAGTTAGTTTGGAAACTAGCCGAGTATTCACTTTAACCGTAACATATACATAAAATAATAGTTAATAGCAGTAATAGTATAATAAACAAAAACGACCCATGAGAGAATCGAATGCTTGACCTTCGGGTTACAAGTCGGAAGTCGCCTACTGTAAGCTATCAAACAAATATCCTTATCGGAGCTCCGCTTATATTAGCATAAATGGTTGCTAAACAATTTCAACTTCTTTACGAAAATTTTGAAGCCTGGGGAAAACCTCAAGGCGATTTCATAAACCACAAGTACAGAATTATGAAAAATTTGGAAATTCTTTTACCGAATTTGAGCCACCAACAAAAAAAATTGTAACATACTATCAGATATAAGACTGAGAGAACAATAAAAAATAAATAAAAAACACGATTCAGTTGATACGGTGGCTGCATTATTTGTACAGTGGTTAAATCACACCCATACCAGAGAAAAAGCGACGGCCATAAAACTGGAGTCTAGTTTATGTTCATTTTGTTCCTTTAGGAGAAAATTTAACTGATTTTTAAATGCAATTTTGTGTTTAGAAAACGGTTAAACCAGAGGAACACAAAAGTCTTTGACCAGTTACCCTTCCAAATTGTCTGATTATTTCCATTTTAGAACGTTTTTGAGTTGTCTTTCTATGTTAGATAATTACTAATTTTGTCAGTTGCATAGTAAATCGTGTTGATGAACTTTTTAGAAAACACGAGTCACTGAACTGTACCAGCGAATTTTTTAACATTCAAACGACACGATTAGGCAAGGTCATGAGAACGATTAGATTTTCTTTCATTAATT